ATCTGTGAAGCTGCAATGCTAACCACTGTACCACTGTTCCTCTTGGTAATAAAAAGGGATCCACTAATTACAAGACCATGATACGTGTCTTTCATGGTCATTTCCTGTCCTTATTCAAAACACTACAATATCGTTAGAAGTAATGACAGTCCTCCAACAGAAATACATTTTTGATAAATTGGTACAATAATAGCAGACCAACATTATTCAGTTCATCTGGCAAGGTGTCCACGTACGTAACACATGAACAAATAAAAACAAGGGGAAAAATGCTATATTCAATTCAACTTCAATTCAACTTTATTGTCATTAAACTTACACAGGTGCATAGTATAATGAAAAGTGTTTCTCATTAGTCACTCAGGTGCAGTATATAAATAGGACAGAAGATAAGACAATAGACAGTTACACAATAGCAATAATAGTAACATGTAATAACATAACATAAATAACATGTAATCAAGTAATCGAAAACTGTGCAAAATTCCACAAACAGAGAAAATTTAACAGGACAAAAACAGTGCAAGGTAATTCTTGGAACAGTGCAAAAAAAATAGTGTGGTTAAAAGTAGTATGGTTAATTAATATTAAATATTATTATGCCTGTTACAATTTTACTGGGCTATCGAGGGGACAGTACAATTTTGGCTTACATGTGTGTGTGGTGGTGTAGGAGTACAGTGGTTGTGTATATCAGGACTATTGCAAGACCTAACTGAATTTTTCAGTCTGGCTGAAATGCCTTGTCTCTCAGTGGAACGAAACTTCACCTTCACATGACTAGCTTTAGGGAGTCAGACACTATGTACTGTGAATGACTCCTCAGAAGCTGCAGAGTACTGCAGAGTAACACAAAATATCAAATGGCTCTGTAGTGCCCCTGCAATGCAAGAGATAGCAGTGCACTGAAACAAGAAGTTATGGCAAGAATAGTTGGAACCTGTGTTTGGCAATGATGGTCAATGACACTAGTAAAACCTGCTGGCTTTCTTGAATCTCCAAATGGGAATATCTTCATGCTTTAAGTTACATATTTTACAGTGCAGGGGGAGTCCACCCATCTTTAATGTTGCAGCATCTGGCACAGGTTATTGAAGGATTTGTTAAAGCTGGGCATGAGCACAAGTAGGACTGCTACAAGGACAGCAAGGCTGTCCTGAGTGGTAGTATTGGTCAGCACATCTCACCAATATAATAACGTGTGTTACTTGAGGTATGTTACAAAACATACAGCTTTGGGTGACTGTTAGATTTTAGATAAAGTTTGTAATACTGGGAAGAGTAAACAATTCTAACTTCAAAGGAGAGAGGATGTTTGCTGAGGCCTGGGGGGGGGTCCTTTGAGCAGAAACAACGGTAAAGTTACCTTAGTATACCTAGAGAAGAAGAGCGTGCTTTTAAGTGTTTTTACAGAACTTGGGTTTCCTGGTACCTCAGTTAGAAACGTCTTTCCTGATTAGGATTTGTATTTAGTTAAAAGGCAGCTAATCTCTTGTGTGGCCTCTGTAGGCATATTAAGAGTTAAGTGCTGAGTAGCAGTCTGGGGTTTTCTGGTTGACCAGAATGTTAGGTCTCTGAAATGCCTTGTCTGTAAATACTGTATATAATGTAACTTTGTGTGTTGTGTTTTGTGTCTTATGTAGTTTATTTTAATAAATATTTGTTTTAACCAAATGTGCCTGGATTATTCCTCCTCTCAACAAAGCTGTGCCAGGGAATAAAGAACTCAGCCGCTCGGGTATATGGTTAGAACTCACGTTCAAGTTGGGGGTTATGAATAATTAT